CACACACACACACACAGAAAACCTCTCGTCAATATGCGTTTTCTGCATTGCATAGCTGCAAAAAACCCATAAAAAACTTACGTGCGGGAAAAGAGTAGAATTATAATAGACAATGTATTGAAAGCCACAAAAGCAGCAACATGGGTAGTCATCATTGATTTGCAGCTAATGATCGCCACATTAAAATCATGCACTACGACAAGTGGACCGAGGAAGAGCCAATTACACCGAACACGTTGATCAGAATAATCACTTCCATGAATTCATTACTTAACAAGGACTCCAAAAAACCGATCATTGTCCACAGCACTTATGGTACTCGACGAGCCGCCATTTACGTTATTACAGCGTTACTCATGCAGCAGGTAAATATCAATAAGATGGAACACGGCCTTCTTCATGAAAACAATTTTCAGTGTCATTCAGCAGTTAGAACGTCTCTTTCTGGTACAATAATTCCTACAACGGTTGATAATGCCATAAATTAATAAAAGAATCATGCCTGGCTCTTTAATAAATTAGCAATAATTTAGTAATAATAGCTTTGTTTACTACGAAGAATACCAAGTCAGTTCGGGCTATCAATGTGTGATGTTGCTAGGATGCTCTAGAACGCCGAGCGCAACTATGCCATGCCCCTCGATCCTGGACTGCATACCTTCAGTTAGCACTTACCCTGTCCGATATGCGTACACCTTTAGCAATATACTTCAGCAATATATTGAACGTCTGGAAAATTATTACGTAGAAGCAATGCTCTTCAAATTTTGATTGAAGTATTTATAACCATACGTCTGCGAGCTACATCTAACCATATCTCTAAGAAGTGCAGTAAGCAAATTGATTAAATTTGATCAATGCAATTTTAATGAAAATAAAAATTGTCCGCCCAACTATGCATATTTGCTTCTGCCTCACTACAATTAAATTTACCTGAATTCACTTAGAACAGCGATTTGCAGGGTCAATGTGCACCTTTTGTTCCAAATTTTTCACGCAGTCTCAGGAAACACCTCTTTATAGCACTGTAGGACAGCCTGAGCAGATCAGAGAAATGGAGTACAGTGTTCAGCTAATGCTTCGTAGCCGCGCAACAATGTGCGACTTTTTGTAATCACCATTATTATTATCATCATCACTGTTATTATCATAATTACTACGGTTATGATAATAATAATTGTCATTATCTTTATTGCTGCTATTATCATTATTACCATTATTACTAATTACTGTTATTGCATTACCATTACCATTCATCAATTGCATTGAAACCCACATATTATGGCGCAGTGTAAGGCGCAGCGAATCGAAGCTCAGTTCGGTATTTCGAGCTCTGGATTGCAGTACGGAAGCAGCGCCACTAAATTATGAACTGAGCTCAAAGTGTAATAACACACTTACTGGCTTCTTGCAGTTGGCCGAGACGCAAAAGATGTCAGTGGTGAGTGCAGCAAAAGCAGTGTGCAAGCGACGCTACGGTGTTCTGCGCCGGCGTGAAGATTTTAAGCTTATTCTTGAAACCGTTCTACAGTACGCAAAGCAGACTGATTTGGTCAAAGACGATCAAACATTCCATCGTGTTATGCAGGTGAGCTTTTTTGTTCTTTTCCGAAAGTTCAAGAATCATTAATTTAGATAAAGCAAAATGAGAAATCACCGCAACACGACAACCCAGCATATCCGTAATCCTTTACCAAACTTGGGATACCGTACCCTCTGCCTAACTGAAGTGCGGGATATTTTTAAAAGCGGCTTTTGATCTCAAAGATTAATCATAAATCAAGCACGTCGAGAAAGCTAAGCAATCAAGTTTTCTAAATTTTCACATATTTTGAGTTGCAGATTCTGGAAGAACGACCACAGGTGATTCCAGATGTAAGTGATTCCACATGAAGTTTTTCACATTTTTTTCATGATAAATTATTTTATTTTTTCGAATATGCACCTCGTCCTCACTTCAGAACTGCTGCACCGCCAATAGTCTGGGAAGAAACCCTAAGCTTGTCAACAGGCTGCATAAAACATTTTTTACATGGCGCCGCGCCAGTTCCCTTAAAGAAAAATTTTTTTGGCAGATGAATGCGCCGTCACATGAGAATTATTAAGCGACGTCAGAATTATTAAGCGATTTTTGTCCAGCTTTGCAGATTTCCTCCTGGATGGAAGCCCAAGTCATTACCATTCCATCTCAACTTTTCCTCTCCTCCGCTAACATTGAATAAGGCAAATTGGAGCGACTCGAGGGAACTAAAATTAGCTTTAAATTGTGGCGAAACTAATATTTGACAAATAATTGAATGTTCAAAAACCCTCAAAAATGAAGCAATGGAAAAACCTAGGCGCTAAATTCCTGTGTAAAAAAGGCACAATGTGAATTTGCACTGAATATGTCTCGACCAGCAAGATCCCAAGTTATGGGACAGGCTACCGTACCACAGCAATATATGATACTATCCAATATACGGTGCCTTCGCCGCAAACAACAATTTCTTATAAAAATATAGAAAGCATTTTCACAAAACTTGGGACCGGAACATATTTTTGTGCAATCTCGCAAGCGAGGAGCAGACTACGAACAGTTTATTTTCCACTGATTTCCTGGGAAAGTGAACTAAACCAATATACTCAGGATCCTAAGTGCCACCGGAATCCTAAATATCCTAAGCATATCCTAACTACCCTAAGAACAGGTATATTCTTAAGACACTTAGGATATACTTTGGATTCTGGTGGTACTATTTAGGATACTTAGGATACCGGTGGTACTTAGGATTCCGCATCATAGCCCAGGGCAAATATCCCCGTCTTAATAGTAGAAGATCGAAACATGCTTGATACTTTTGCTAAAGCTTCTCTATGGCTGTGACAACCAAAGAACAGACGAAGTGCCTCTGACGAGAAATGTCGACATGCTTCAGGTTTATCAACTGTTACCATATAAAGTCATAACAAAAATAATGCACATAATTCACAAAACTTCACCCAGTATATAACCATGCACCAGCGCAAATTATCTTAAAAGCGGCAGCTATATAACATCAAAACTCTAAACCCTGTACGTTTTTCAGTTGCCAGAGGAGGGATACTCACACTAATCCCCTGATAACACTCTACCAATAGGAACGTTCACAGGAAAGGCTGATGATCGTTTTTTCCTTTCTCTAAGTTTGCTTTAGAAAATGCAGTCTATCCTCCAGTGAGGCATAATTCTGAAATCGACTATTTCTTCTCTTTCTTGTCTGTTTTCATCTTAAATAATTTCTAACTACACTAAACGATTTAAATTATTCTGTTACCACAATCGTCGCATTGACGAGGTCCAATGGTGGTAACGGTCAGAAATCTATACGACTTAATGGGCCGAAAAATTTCTTACTACAAATATTTCCTTAGTCCCCTTCTTACTTCGCCCTTTCCTTCGTTTTCTTCCCTTCTTCATCTTTTCTAGTTCATTATTTTCTCTTCAACCCTTCACTGAAACAGAACAATGCGCACAAGCTGAAGAAGGCGCTACCCATTTTGAAAATCAAACAAAATTAAAATCGCAATTACAACAAGAATAGTCCTTATAAATCTGATAACAGAAACGACAATGAGATCAACAAGGATGAATGCAAAAAAAGCAAAGGTTTTTTGAAACTGTACGAAATTCATTTTTTTGTACTTTCACTGATATCAACAGGAATCGACTCCACAGGGTTCACAGCACCAGCAGCAGCAGCAGCAGCAGCGGTAGTAGTCGGAACCGATGGCGTTTTGTCTCCAGATGGCAGATTCTTTGGACCTTCGCTAGCTGCACTTTTTTCTGCCGTTTTAGCTCGGATTCGCTGATACTCCTGAGTATAACGCTTCACATCCGCATCTTCTTCCGATACATTTGGCTCGAAAACATTCTGTAAATACATTAGACTGTACAAATTATAACTGTGATCGAAAAAACAGATGTGGGCATAACAGTGAGAAGGTAAGACTACTACGAGAACGGATTATCTAACCTCTGGAGAAATCTTGTCCAGAATCAGCCGGCATCGAAAATCCCCAATGCAAGGCCATAAAAGGTGCACGATCCGAAGCAGATGGTACTTCACTCCTTGACAGTACTGAAATACTATTTATTGCACACAAATTCAGATGTAGCCCAAAAAGTATTAATTCATCTGCGCTCGTTACTATTAGCATGGATACTGCAGCCTCATTCTTCTAATATATTACGCATATTTTTCTAAATGACCGATTTCTTCACGCGTATAGTTAAAAAGCACAAATTTAGGCGTTTTGTGCTGTGCAATAACTGCACAAAACACATATTGCCACGGGATTGTTTGCGTGTGTTTGCTTATTTGTGTGTGTGTGTCCGCAGCAATTTGTCCGCAACTTTCGACTCGGGAACCACAAAGGCTAGGAAGCTGAAAATTTTGGGATATGTTTCCTGCTCACGTGTGACTCCGCAAATTTGAATTCAGCTTTCCTTAAACGCGGATAACTCGTGCGTACCCGTAAAAGTTTAGGCGAGGAAAATTATTGTCTTGGGAACCATGAAGGCTAGGGAGCTAAAATTTTGCGGTAATAACTCTCTGCCACGTATGACCTCGCAAACTCAAATTCAGCGCTCCAGCGCTCTCGGATATCACCCACAGCCCTGTGAAATTTTCGGCGAGAAAAATTATTATCTCAGGAATCACAAAAGTTAGGGAGCTAAAAATTTACGGCAATTTTCCCTGCTCGAGTAAAAAACAGCAACTTTAAATTCAGCTTTCCCCTGGGTATGAATACCACGTATGAATCCGTGAAAATTTTGGCGGGAAAAGTCATTGCATCGACAGCCAGAAGAGCTAAAAGGCTGAAAATTTCAGGAGAATTTTTCCTGCCTAAGCAGAGACTTCACAAACCCGAATTCAGCACCTAAGTATACCGAGGTATCACGTACGACCACGTTAAAGTTTCGTCGCAAAAACCACTCGAGAATTAGAAAATTAAGGAACTGAAATTTTGGAAAGACATTTATCCTTCGAGATTTCAAGTTCAGCTTTCACAAAACGGTGTGTGAACTTTTTAATGGGAAATTCCACGACTTGGAAACCAGACATTTCAACTATTTTTGCACCGATCAAAGTGCAAAGCAGTGAAAATCATTAGCAAGCAATCATTCAGTGAACAGAATTGCACAAAACGCAAGATGCATGCCACTATTTATTTGATTTGGAATCAAAATAAGACTTACATCCAATCCTTTTAATAGATATTCGTCTATAATAAAGTACGACACCTGTTCGGTTGAGAGTAAGTTATCAAAAGGTGTTGATTGTAGTAAACGATGAATTATAACGTGTGCCCATGGATCGCAGTATGCTATCTAAATTCAATTTTTACTTGTTAGAACAAGCAGCAGCCATGCCATGCACAAATAATCAATTTTTAAAGTAGCCATTTGCAAAACCACTGGGAAAAAACATAAAAGCATAGCGAACATACCTTGTCTTTGAGACGAGGTAATGCTTTTAGGTATCTCATAATGCCCGGCAAATCGGCAGCACGGCGTTTACTCGGGAAAACATCCAAAAGATAATGGATCCAAAGGAGGGCACACGAGATATCCGTTTTGAGAAAGCTCATAATCTCATCGGATGGATCCGACAAGAAATCACTTGGAGGATTCTCGTCAACAATTTCATCTAAAGTGACTTGGACGTTTAGAAAGAGCACAGAATAATAATGCAAAAACTGAATACTTTGTTTCCCGGACAAAAAAAAAATCCTCTCAGATTCAAAACGGACAAAATGACGACCACAGAGATGCAAAATGCCAAAATCAATGAAATTTATATATTTCGAACAAGTGCATTATTAATGTTAGGCATAAGGCGCAAGTTTTCGAACCTGGTGCCCTCGCAAGTTCATATCGTAGCAAATCTTCCAGGATGAGAATACTAAAAGCAGCGAGAAATTTCGTGAAAATAAGCGAATCGACATTTTGCAATGCAGCTAGGTTATTTGTTGACAAAATGTGATGGGCTGACGCTCCGAATGTTAACATTCTGTAAAGATTCAATCCTTTAATAATGTAGTAGTAACGCCACAATGTCTGCACAGATTATGCAAAAAAACAACCAAAATTGAAAATAAAAAAAAAAAAAAAGAATTGGCTAAAATCAAACCTCAGGAGAAGCTGTAAAGGAATTAAGTCCCGCGGCAATTGTCCAGTAGCATGTGCCACTGCATCTCGCAAAACCTTCACAGACATTGAACAGAGAAAATGTATAACGTGCGCATCACCAGCGATCATTGCCAAATCACCGATCACCTACAATCGTGCAGATTTTTGTTTAGAAAGTGATAGTGCAGTGATTTCAATGAACAGCAAAATCACCCGTAATATGCCTATCAGATAATACCGTTCCAAATCGGCAATTATTAAACCAAGATTCGGCTTGGCAACGCAAAACACGCTCGTTTGTGGGTTTGGGCACAAGTCGCGAAAATAACAGTAGTATACAAAATATCGGATTTTTTCAATAAGATGAGATATTGGAGTGCCCCGTCCCTATCCCTGTCTATAATTCCTACCTCTAAACAGGGCCTTAGCTTCTTTCCAGTCAATATCTCAGTTTTCTCCCCTCTGCTACAAACTCCTGCAGCCTAAACTAGCATTCCCTATTCTTTTCTCTATCCCAAACCTATCATCCGAGGCGAACATAATATAGCCGTCGCAAATTACTTCCCCCGACCCATCTCAGCCAAGTCCAGTTACCAAAATTGGGCCACAATGGCACAGCAGATCGTCAAACCAACGGAATGAGACAAGGAAAAAAATATATATATATTCTTAGCGATAAACTATCACCTCAGGCTTTGACTTTTTTGTCGATTCTAATATATTCTTCAATTTGCTGGTCTGTTGTGCGTCCAGATGCTTGTCCCTAACACATGCATCAAGGCATCGGGCGAGATCGTGACAAGGATCTGAAACATACGGCTGTGATACTGATCGGACAAAAACAACGATATTACCCACTAAATACCAACAAAGACGTGCAAAAAATCAACCTCTGAATAAAAAGCAAATAAGAACCTGATCGTATGATCGATTCAAGATTGAAATCATGCGCGGACATTGCCAGTTCCATCCTCAACGAACAGTATAATCCATCGGCTGTCTTCAAATATCGCTCACGGATCACATCGTTCAATCGTTGATATAACGGCTGGTGTGGTCCGACCATTGACATGAGCTCTGTAATTTACCAAAGACTTCAATATCGTCCGACTTAAGCTGTAGACGCCGTATTTTTGGGCTGACAAGAAAATATTCACAAAGATATTCGGATACAAGAACGCACTGCCTTCCCTTTTTCTTCCCCTCCTCCCCCTCCCCCAAAAAGGCAGCCTGCTTCGCAAGCGAAGCAAGGCAGCCTGCTTCGCAAGCGCTGTGGATAAACAGGGTTTCAAGTACTGTTCATGCTCTGTCAAGTGTTGGAAAGAGTAGCATTACTGTTGGCAAAGTGCAGTGACATAATAAATGAAGTAAAATGGGGGTTGGAAGGGGAAGTACATGGCAAGGGCGTGTCATGTGTCTGGAGGTGTAGCGTAGTCAAGCGAATGTCCTAACAGAAAAGAGAGGAATAGAACAGTCGTACATGTACATTTAATATTCTGAAAAGGAGCCAAATTTTGCAGTTTCACTTAAGCTAGCCAGTATTTGCATTGGATGATGTCTGTGTTTCATCCCTGAACTGTAAACAGAGACGACTAAAATGGTGCGAAATGGGGTGGGAATCATCAGAACAGTGAAATAAGACAAATTTACCTTGTATTTGTGGCCACTGCCGCCGGGATTTGGTCGTATCACAGTTAAAGTAGTTAGTTGGTGACTGATCAACGGTGTGCATAACTTTTCGTTTTGCGTCAATATAAGAATCCAGAATCGGAATTAGTGCATCCACATAAAGCGCATCATTTTTGAGCCAGATCTGTTGCCGGACTGTCACAGCACAGCAATTGTAAAATTCTCGATCGCTCACAATTACCTTCAGATACCTTAATATAATAAAAAAGCCTTCGATTCATCGAAACTCAGGCCTCAGGCACTTCCAGTCAAACATTTCTGTCTGAAGGAACCCTGAATTTGTTAAAATCTCAGCTGATGGCAAAAATAATTTACAGCAGAGTTCAATCAATGGATTCCATCAATTTTATTGTTTAGTTTGATTAAGGAGAACGCATCAGCCGTCGTCAAAAGCACCATTTGAATCAGATAGCAAATTTCGAAAATCGTAAAACCCGTAGCTCGGGGTGGAGGGAGGATGAAGAAGTTGTGATCTGTCCCACCGATAACGAAGAAATCGCAACAGTGAAGGAAAGAGCTGCTAAATGAAGCAAAAAAGCAAGCACGCATTAAAGTTCTTACAACTGACCAGCTGACTGCTTTGCTTTTATAACAGCAATTTTTAAGTTTTTTTTGAAGACTGCTTGTAAATTCAACTAATACATCAGAGATTAAAAAAAACTGTGCTATTTCGCGGAATTTCGCAAGGTCTTTAAACAAATAGAACTAAAAAAACAGAACTTTCTTTACAATTAAATCCCGAAAAAGCGCCTACCTGTCAGGAACTCTTGGAAGCTGCTTGAGCGTTTCGAGCACAAAAGGACGGATGAGAGGTACTCGGTACAATTTGAAGCTTTTCTCCAGTTGCCGTTCAAGCAGCAGGATTGATTCTCTGCTTCCCTTCGCACCTAACTCCTTTATTTTTGCAAGCAACCGCTCCGACATATCATTGGCTGCCTGAAAAAAGTAAGTTTCGAAAAACGAAATTTTGGAAATCAACAGCTCACGTATGTCAGTGAACTTTTTTTGATCAGAAGAAGGAAAGTAGAGAGGGAGAGACATCACAATCCCTTCAAATATTCCATGCATTCACTAACAGTACAATTCCAAGTGTATTTACCAGCTGGCTGACGAGCAAGCTCACAAAATTTCAGCTCCGTAGACTCACAAAATTTCAGCCTCCCAGACGGTATGGTGTGGGGTTGCAAAATTTTCAACGTCAACTTCTACATGGCCATACATGAAAAGACGTGAACGCCCGCTTAGCGTCTCGAAATTCATTCACAGTGGTGGATTAAGTTGCCAGAATTTTAGCTTCATAAAGTATCGGAATAGATATATGTACACACACACACGCGCGCACACACACACGCAAACACACACACACATACAGACACACACACACATACAGACACACACACACATACAGACACACACACATATACGAAATCACATATGCAATCATTTTATATTATATGCTTTTGCATTGCATAGATATAAAAAACGCATAGAAAGCGAAAAATGAAGCAGAGTTAAGCTATTTTGCGACCAAAGAATTTGAGAACTCTTTTTCGGAGTTTAAGGTGGCATTTGCTGGCGCGCATGGCATAGAGTAAGCAGAGCTGCTCATATGTTGAAGATCAAAAGGGTTCGACGCTGATACTGGGGATAATCAGGTCTTTTACGCGATTCGTTCATTCATTTCGATGGCAAATTGGTACTGGGAAATGTCAAGAAATCGCCAACAGCAGGCTTACAAGCAATCTTTATAACACAGAGCCATCGACAGCCTAGCCAACGGGTGGTTGGCACGTGTTACTTCCCGAGATACTCCCCCAGTGCCACTGGATGCCCTCAAAGAAACTGATTATGAATATTTTTTAAATGCGTTTTGTGCTTTGTAACAGCAGTACAAAACGCATATTGTCACGGGGTTGTCTGCGTGTATGTTTGTGTGTGTGTGTGTCCGCAGCAACTTGTCCGCAACTTTCAATTCGGGAACCACAAAAGCTA